CAAGGAAAGGGCAGCAGAGTGCGGCCCGTGGGCCGGGCCCAGGCCAGCCCACTGACAGTTGTGCGTGGCCCACAGCTAAGCGGGGAGAAACAATGGAAAGAAGGAGATGTTTTTATCAAGCTGGGGGGGGGAAATAAATAAAAAACGAATGTGTTTCTAACCATTGACAATTATTCAGATGTTGGTGTTCACCAGTAAAGTTGTATTGGTACACAATCCTGATCATTTGCTTACATTGCTTTCTTCAATAATGGGGGAGTGGAGGATTTGTGACAGCCTATCTGACAATAGGCCTTGACAGATCATGTTTTCTAAACCCTGCTCTATACAACTTTTAAAGTCAAATGACTTCAAAATAAGCTTAGACACTGGTGAAAGAAAAAGAGGAGCACCCTCCAGGAGGTGGATTGATACAGTGACCCAACAATGGGTTTCAATGTACCAACAATTGTGGGGATGATGCAGGACCAGGCAGGGTTTTGATCTGCACATAGTAGGGTCACTGTAAATTGTAGCTGACTTGGTGGTACTTAACAAAACAAGCAATGGCTCACAAGTCTCAGAGGCTAGCACGTCCCAAGCCTGTGGTCCAGACGTCAAACTGCAGGTTTCTCCTGATTCACAAATGTGTAGGGGCAGAGGAACAAGGACAGCTGGGCAGACAACAGGCTGCTGGTCCACAGGTCTTGGGGGCTGACAAACCCCAAGATCATCGAGCAGGACAACAGACCCCTGTCTCAAGTCTAAAGACCTCCAAGTCAGGTGATGTTGAGCAAGACGTAGTAGGCTCCTGCTTGGGCAAAACAAGACAAGAGAGCTTAGCCGGGAAGGTTCATAAATGTTGGAAGCAGGCATACCTCTAAGGGAAGCCCCTTTCCACTGATTGGCTGCTCACAGCAGCTCTCATCATAGCGATGATTACATTAGGTCAGATCTCATCCTGGGGGTGACGATGTTTTAACTGCCATACCATTAAGGATCCTGACCCAGCCAAGTGGACACACCACCTTGGTCTTCATATGCACTGTGGCAGTCTACTGGTTCACATCCCCGGAAGATAGTGGTACGGGGTGATTCAGGCCAGTTTCACACTGTCCTGAAGACGTGGTTATCATCGCTCCCCCAGCTGGCCAGCTGACATTGACTGCCCTCTGATGGCTTGTTTTGTCCCCACACGTTCTTTCAAGAGGGTGGAAACATGAACGAACAACCTAGTCCCTCATTTGTTTGGATGACTTCTCCCTCAGAAGTCTCATCACAGCCCTCCCGACTGGTCCAAGAGGGACTGGGACAGAGATTTATCAACCCAGGTACCACAGACGCGGAGGACTGGATGAATATTCGTGGTGGGGGCTGCCCACGCATTGGCCTGAACAGTTGCTAATGAATGCTTGAGTCGGTTGTCCGTGTGTGTCACAGTGCAGCTCTGCTCCATGGAATGTTTCCATGGAATGTTGCTGTTTCCAGATCACCAAGCTTTCCTTCTTCCGGCGTGCCTTGGGGTGGATTGAAACCTCCCACCTGTTGGTTAGTAGTAACCATCCGCACCCCCCACTGATTCCAATGGTTGGAAACGGGACTGGCCTCAAAACACTCTTGGGTTTAGCCTCCAGAAGGAACAAACCCCTTCCTACACCTTGAATTTAGACCTGCTTATATCCAGCACTGTGAGGGAATATATCTGAAAAACAGTCGCCGCCGTCCCTACCCCCAGCCAGTCCTGGGGCTTTGGGGCTCGGCTTGAGGGGAGTCCCTCTGGGACATGGGAGTACAGTGGATGGTGTGACCCTTTGCTGGGCATGCCTACTCAGTAGGGAATGCTGGGCCCCTCTAGGGTTTCCTGTAAGGGCACCAGTACATTTCTTCCTTTTTGCTTAAAAAAAAGAAAAGAAAAATAGTCGCCGAAAAACAAACAAAATCCCTGTTTGCATAAATGTAATAGATTACGCTGGCCAACGCACATTCTGGTGCCTCAAAGCACTAGACTTGTTTGGGGGCCTATTTAACCTGCTGATTCCGAAAATGGCAGCAGGTTTCCCCTATCAGCTCTAGTGTATGAGGTGCAGAACACAGGCCCTCTGCACTCCATACACTCCGTTCGCCCATTGAGCAGTCAGGACCTCGTGATGTAGTGTCAGCTAGCCTGAGGCTTAGCAAGTGAACACTGGCTATCTTTAAAGTAGTTTGTGTTGCACTAAGTATTTAGGTCAAATATTATACTCCACATAGTGTTCTTTGATCCTAAGATCTGTTTGAACAGTGAAAATTACATGAACTTGGGATTTTCCTTAAATGCCACTTCATCTTCATGAGGGAGTGAATAGCAGGCAGTTCCAATGGCCTATATAATTATCATACAATCATGTGGGATCCAGCCCACATCTGGATGGGTCCTGAGGGGTGGCTATGTCATTACAGGTGATAAATTAGGAGACAGATGAAAGTTTGGGGGTGCTTACCTCCAGGATGTCAGGATCCAGGTCCAGGCAGGAGTGAGAGAGTGTATTCTCTCTCATATCTCCGTACATAGTCTTGGGGCATACAGGCTCCCATAATTACCGGTCACCACATACATAACAAAGTGGGCTGTACCTTAACCCCCAAGGTCCCTGAGTTCATCGGGGGAGTAAACTAACACCAGTGCTGGGGGCAGATAAAGGGGAGTCACTGTCCCCTGAGCAGGGAGAACAATTACAATATGTTTATTCCTGTAGATAGTTTCCGGGCAGGTAGCAATCAGCCATGAGCTTTTAAGAAGTAACTTTAAGGTAGCACTATTATTATGGGAGGATATTGTGGGGATTAATCTTAATTATGAGAATGTGATTAGGATTCATCTCTAACTCACAAGTGGGAAGCCCTCCCTCTACCCAGAACCCTGGCCTCCCAGGCTTCTTTAAATATAGGTATAAAGAATTCTTCCACATACATTGTCTTCCCAGTCCTCTGTTTCCCATGCAATCCAATTGCAAAATGCTAGCATGCAAACTTGTATTATATAACGTGAGCTGGTGTGTGTGGGGGGTGGGGTGGGGGGTATCCTGGTGGGATAAAGGATTATACATTGGGTGGCTAACCACAAGATCAGCAGTTTGAAACCACACTAAATTATATGTATACAATATATACTCATGCATAAGCCGAGTTTGTCAGCATATTTTTAATGCAGTTTTTGTGATAAAATTAGGTGCCTTGGCTGATATTTGGGTCGGCTTATACTCGAGGATAGAAGATATATTCTCTTTAGTATATATGTTCTTTAATATATTGATGTACTTATATGTGTGTAAATATATATACATGTATATATATATTAATTATTTAATCCTTATAGGCTCTTCTAACACCATTACGCTAAAGTGACTGATTGGACACAGCCTCAGATCCTTTGGAAGGTTTAATTCTTGAGAAGGTTTACACGCTCTCCTTTTTCAGTCTTTGGTCACGAGTCCAGATAGAGTGTATACTTGACCCAGACAAGGAGGATGAGCCAAGCGCGGGTGCGCGGGGTCCAGGGTGGGTCCCCAGGATCACCTCCATGGCCGCGTGCCCCAACTGCAAGTGCAAGCCCGGTGCAGCTCCAACATCTGCTTCAGGTGCCCGTTGGCCTGCCCTCTGCGTCTGCCCCAGCCGCCGTGCTGAGGGAGCAAAGCCAGGCCCTGAAGATGGGAGACTGTCTGAAAAGGCCATCTCCTCTGCTAGCCGCTTCAAGGGCTGATCAAGGAGCCCCTGAGGGTTGTGACCAAGGGGACTCTCCTGGGGGCTCAGCCAGGAATGCAGGTCCCAGCGGTGAAACTGCAAACGGCACTATGTAACTTCACCAGAGAGCCGCAGAGCGCGCTCAGAGGAGGCATTGAGATCAAATAATCCACTCATCAAGGTGCCTTTGTTTCAGGGAACAGAAAGGAGGAGCCAGGTGCAGCAGACACTTGGTGTCTGGCAGGGTTAGTGGATCGCCAATAGGAGGGACAGTGGACCCTTAAGTACTTACCTGGCTTGGGTTTCCAGTAAGCTGGCGACTGGGAAGCAAATCCAATCGGGGCTGAGCTGAGGCACATGAGGGAGGCGGGCTCTGTTGTGCAGGTGGCGAGGGCAGAGCCAGATGCAGCGTGTGCCAGGGGACCATAAGGAACTTGCCACCCTTCCTCACTCCTTTTTCTTCCACTCTTGGATTGCACCCAGCTTGTCTTTCTCACATTCATGTGGCCTCTCACACTTAGGGAGACTTTTCCTTTCTCTGTACTGTTACGGAACACCATAAATAGCCCTAGTGGTGCTGTTAGATGGATAACCAACCACAAGGTTGGTGATTCACAGCCACTTGATGCTCCACAAGAAAAGACGAGACTCTCTGCCCCTTAAAGATTTCCAGCCTCTTGAACCCTAAGAGTCCCTATGAACGTTCACCCAGATACCAGTCAGTATCTGTGGCAGTGACATCATCTGTCAACTTGCGCGAAGGGGTGGAGTCTAGCCTGTCAATCAGGCCATAGCCAATGAGACCTCTGTGTGGGCATGGCCTTCTCCTGAGGATTCTGGGAACTCCTGTCTTTCTCCTTGGAGGCAAGACACACATTTTCTCTGCTTCGTCTTCCTGCTGACAAGATGCATGGAGCTATGCTGATGGCAGCTGGAGCCCTGGAGCTGGAGGAGCCACGTGGAGACCCACGCCAGAACTGAGATGCTTCCACCGCCACTGGATCCACAAGACTTACCACCCACTGGCCTGTGATCTTCCTGAATTCAGTGCCATTGCATGTGTTGCATGAGTCTGAAGAGGAATTTACAGACTAATATCAGACTTCTGGGCTAATATTGGGCTTATGGACTTGATCTGAACTGGGCTGGGATGTTTTCTTATTATACAATTACTCTTTAGATAAAGCTCTCTCTTAAACACATATGAGTGTCGATGAATTTGTTTCTCTAGTCTACCCAGACTGATACAGTATCAACATGATGGAAATAATGGTAAAAATGATGTTGTTGGGGTGTTGGTGATGTTGGTGATGATGAACCTGGTGGTGACCATGGTCAAGGTGGTGATGATGATGAGGGTGTTGGCGGTGATGATGCGCATGATGATGGTGGTGGTGATGACAGCAAGGGCGATGAGGATGACAATGACGGCAGTAGCAACAAGAGAATCTCCTCATTGTCAAGCTCTTGTGCTTTCCTTTTTCTCTTCCCCTCTCCCCATCCTTCTTTCCTCCCTCCCTCCCGATATCCTCTCTCTGTTCCCACCCTGTCCCTGGCCTGCTCACAGTCCTCAAAGTCTTCTCTCTCTTGGTGGAAAAACCACACATCTTTCCCTTTGTTTGGTGTTATCCAGGGGACTTACTGCCTTCAGTGGGGTGGTTTTACTGGTACTACCCTCAGAGAAGGAAGGGTTCTGATGCTCCAAAGTCTGAGGCATTTGTGAGAAATGGAACAAAAGCCTAACCAACCCCATCCAGGTCAGTGGCAGGGCAGAGACCTATGTTGGGCTCTGCCCGATTCCAGGAATGTTGCTGACAGCCAAGGTGCATCTCCTCTTCCGGGGCTGGAGTGGTGTGTGACACCCTCCCCTTGGCATCCACCTCATCTCTGTGTGAATCAGGTTCCACCCAGCACTGCTTTCCAACCACAGAACGCTGGGGAGTCTTTGTGTGCATCTTTGTGGGGGGTAGGGTGATCCTGGGCATTGTAAGGTGTTCAGCAACATGCCCGACCTTAATCCACGGAGGCCAGCGGCCCCCATCTCCACTTGAGGACCGTCGAGGGAATGACAGAGCTGTTCTTTGTGAAAGCATGTCCTTTCTGTGGCTCCCCTCTGGACTGGAGGAACGAGTGGCCCTGAGGGTCAGAGGTCAGGCTCCAAATGAGGCAGGAAAAGCCAGGTGGCTGATGAGGGAGCTTCCCTCGGGGACAGCAACTCCCAAGTCGGTCCGACTCATAGCGGGCCTGCATACAACAGAGTGAAACAGCACCTGGCCCTGCACCATCCTCCCCATGGCTATGTTTGAGCCCACTGTGTGCAGCCACTGTGTCGGCCCACCTTGTCAAGGGCTTTGCTCTTTGCTGCCGCCCCTCCCCTTTACCAAGTGTCCCTCCCCGGGGACTGGTCCTCTCCTGACAGCATGTCCAAAGTGTGCGAGGCAAAGTCTCCCCATCCCTGCCTCTCTGGGTGTCCTTCTTCCAGAATGGACCTGTTGTTCTTTTGGCAGTCCACGCTACTTTCCATAGCCTTCTCCAGCACGTGATTCAAAGGCACCCATCCGTCTCTGGGCTTCCTCCTCAGCGTCCGACTTTCACCTGCGTGTGTGGTGACTGAGAACCCCATGGCTTGGGCCAGGGGCACCTTAGTCCTCCAAGTGGCATTATTGTTCGTTTTTTGTTTTTTTTAGAGTGTCTTAAACAATATCCTTGCTTGTTAGGGTATCTTAAAAAAGAGATCCTGTCAGCAGAGCGGCTTCCCAGGAGATCTGCTGGGCCAGTCCCATTCCAGGTAGAGAGGTCCGTGCAAAAGCTTAAGACGACCGTATTCTGGGATGTTCTTGAAGGACAGAGGATGATCACAGATGCTCATTAGGGAGCAATCCTGAGAAAATGGAAAAGAGCATTGGTGAGGAAAAGTTGCATGACAGTGCACCTGTTCATTCCTCCAGGGTAGTAGAGGCAGTGTGAGAATTCTTTACCCCCTCCCCACTACAGCCCCGATGGCTCCTTTTGTCTCACGGAGAAGGAACATGAATCGAGGCCCTCCAGGGAGCTCTAACTCCTCTCTGGGTGTCGGATCCATTACAAGATGCAGAGTTCTTCCTGGAAAGGGTTAGAGAGCGGGAGCCCCGCCTTCAGAAGTGGGTGGACCCAGATGGAGGCGCTGTGGAGAAACAGTAGCTTCCTGTATTGGTACTTTTATTTCATAAAGGTGTCTATGACTTTGAAACTCGCTGCTTCCTAAACGCTGTCTGCTCTGCTTCATTATGCTCGTCTCATAAAGGAGCCCTCATCCGAACTCAAGGAGGCCTAGTGGCCCCGAGGGTTAAATGCTGGAGGCCTAAGTATAAGATTGGTCATTTGAACCTGTCCGTTTCTGAGCGGGAGACAGGTGGGGCCCTCTGTTCCACTGGGGCCATTCTGCAGTGCCTTATGGGCTCCTGGTGAGAAGGTATCCACTGGATGGTGGTGGGCGTGGTTTCTCGGTCTAACCACCTCTTACATCGTGGTTGAGTGCTGGGCTGTCAGCCAAGAAAAGGTGAGCAGTTTGACCCACCGACCACTCTGTGGGGAAAGACAAGACTGTGCTACTGTGACGACGACGGCAGTTCTACTCTGTCCTTAGAGGGTCGCTTTGAGTCAGGCCACTCAGTGGCAGTGGGCCCGGTTGTCACCTCCATTAGAAGGCGCCCGGTGGGTGGCTCTGGGGGGTAAATGCTCAGGGGACCTGCTCTGGGCGAGAAAGACCGACAGTCCGCTTCCATGCAGATGAAAACCTTGGAAACCCTGCTGGCTGTTGGCGGCAGTGGGTGGGCCTCGTTCACTCTCGTGATCTCCTCGTTGAACATAGGAACAGCGAGCACCGAGCCATGGGCAGCCCGCAATGCAGAGGTGGGTTGTTTGAAGGCTATCACTAAGTTATTACCGTCACCCGTGCTTCTAAATGTTTCAGTTCCTAGGTAATAAATGTATTTAACTTATAAGGGCCAATGAAGTTTTAATTCGTAATTAGCATGTACATGTGACTTACTCCATCAGGAAAGTGTGGCCAGATAACCCTTCTTCCTTTCCCCCTGTGTTGGAAGTGAGCATGTGTCACCAAAAACTCTAGGTCCATTTCCGTTTTACTTTTCCTCATTTTCTTAGCCACTCGCCAATATGTAGGTCCGAGAGGTAAGGAATCTAGTGAGATTTGTTGTTGTTAGTTGTGGAAGCACATTGTTTCACAGCCTCGCTCAACAATGGAATCGGCAACAGTGTCCAGTTAAAAGCCCCATACGTGTGGTTCTCTCTCATTGTTCTTTTTGCCCCTCTCCATCCTCCTTCCCTCCCTCCCTCCTTCCTTCTCTGAAATCCCATCCCTCCCCTTTCCCTGTCCCCACCCCATCCCTGGCCTCCTCCCAGTCATCAAAGTGTTCCCTCCACATTTTTTTCTTTGTTTTTCCTGATAACAATGTTATTAAATGTTTATTTTTTTGAGATTGACCAGATTTGCCAAGCCCCGTGTTCTTTAGTTTTGTGCCACATGAATTCTTTTCTTTTTTACATGAGAAAACGTCTTCTTATGGTGAATTTGGTGGGGGTTTACAGAGCAGAGCTTTAGCTGTATTCAGCCATTCCTCGCACTCTGCTTTACCTCATGCAGCGCTAGCTCCAAGCCCAGTGTGACATCTCTTATCCCACTCCCTCCCCGTTTCCTGCCCCTTCCTCTGTCTTTCCTAACCCTTTGGAATCTTTTCATTGAGTAAATGCTGCTCTCTTGACCTCCCATGGCTGATGTCGTCAGGAGTGTGCAGCTCCCTGATGTTATTCTTCCCCTTATTGACCTGTGTCTGTTGTTTGGCTGAAAATTGAGCCTCCAGAATGGAGTATACATTGGGCTGCTAATCTACCGCCAGGCCAGCAGTTCAGAACTACCAGTCGCTCTGCAGAAGGAAGATGAAACTTTCTACTCCTGTGAAGCGCTAGAGGCTTTGAAACCCACCAGGGCAGTTCTACTCTGCCCTGTAGGGTCCCTATGACTCATAATTAACTCAAGGTGTTTTGGAGGGTGAGTTTAGTTCCAGGGCCACAATAGGAAGGGTCCCACTGGTCACATGGCCCATTGACAGGTTCTTGTTTCTCAACGCTGAAAGAATTCACGCGGCAGAATCCTGTCTGTAATCCAAGTGGCTTTTATGAGGAAAGGGAAGTTCAGGAATTACAGTCTCACAAGGCGCATGCTGTTTCTGGAAAGTGTACAAGCCAGCGCGGAAACCTAGCGGGAGTTCGTGACAACCCAAAAAAACACATGGAAAGAACACATGGACAGGAACCCGAAACCACGTTTATGGAAGCAGGAAATCCCAGGGCCAAGAGAGTGCAGGCCCGAGTGGACCCAGGGTGGGCGCAAGGATGGCAGCTCTCAGGAGGGAACCCCACCTCTATCTGCCAACCATGCCTAAAAGACAGGCGGCTCGCCTGAGGATGGCTTTTATCTCCACTGGCTGGGGAGGCGTGGTTTGAGAGTATTGGCCGACCTTATTGGCTGAGTTTAGGCATACCTGTGTGATGTCATGGGCACAGGTTGAGGCTAGGTTTGGTTTCACCTGCGCTTAGGTCATCCTAGTCTAGTGCATGCTCCGTTAGAATCTTTCCATAGGTGTCTAATTAGTGTGCCTGATTTCATCCCACCCACTGTTTTGTGGCCCTGTGCACGCATTGGGGAGGCACCCCCCTTAGACCCTATTCTGGCTACCTAGCAATTCTACGAGCAAAATACTGAATGATGCAGGAAGCATAAAAGAGGATGTAAAGAATACAGTGCAGAGTCATTGGACTAAAAAGAGCGAGTCGGCATTCAACAACCCTTCCAGGAGGTAGGTCTGAGCAAGGACCGGTGGTGCTGAAGGAACACGCCCAAGCTGCACTGGGTGCATTAGTCAAAAACAAGGCTCCCAGAATCGATGGGATGCCATTTGAAAGTTTCAACAGGCTGATGAAACACTGGAGCCATTCACTCATCTGTGCCAGGAAACTTGGAAGACAGCTACTTGGCCAACTGACTGGGAAGAGATCCATATTGGTACCCATCCCAAAGAAGGGTGACGCAGCAGAGTGCTCAAGCTATAGAACGATGTCATTGACTTCACGTGTAGTACAATGCTGCTGAAGATCACCCAACAGCAGCTGCAGCCGTACATTGACAGGGAGATGCCAGAGGGTCAGCCTGGATTCAGAAGAGGATGTGGAACAAGGGATCTCATGGCTGATGTCAGGCGACCTTGGCTCCAAGCAGAGCATCCTAGAGAGACATTTACTTGTGTTTTCTCGACTGTGTGGACCATAACAAACTATAGATAGCCTTGAGACGAATGGTGATTTCAGAACGCTCCATTGTGCTCATGAAGAACTTGTACCTGGATCCAGAGGCGAGCAGAACAAGGAAATACCGCACGGTTTGAATTGGACGGTGTGTGTCAGGGTTGGGTCCTCTCACCATGCCTGTTCAGTCTGTGTGCTGAGCAAGTATTCAGAGAAACTGGATTCTAGAAAGAAGAATGTGGCATTGGGATTGGAGGAAAGTTTAGTAAACCCTGCGAAACGCACGTGACACAATCGTACTTGCTGACGGCGAGAAGGACTCGAGGCACTTGCTGATGAAGATCAAGGACTGCAGCCTCACTGTGGATGACAACTCAGTGTAGAGAAACCACAGTGCTCACAGCTGGACCAACAGGTAACATGGTGACAAATGGAGAAAGGAAGGGAGTTGTTAGGGACTTTTTCTCGCAATCAGTGATCATAGAAGCAGCAGTCAGGAGAGCAAATGACGTGTTGCCTTGGGTCAATCTGCTGCCCAAGACCTCGTTAAAGTTTTGAAAAGCAAGGATGTTAAAAACGTCGAGGGTTAAGGTGCACCTGGCCCAGCCATGGTGTTGCTGACTGCCTCATACGCATGTGAAAGTTGGACGCTGACTAAGGAAGACTGAAGAAGGGTTGCTGCATCTCACTTGCGGTGCTCGGGAAGAGGACTGAAAGACCGCTAAAGGACCAACAAGTCTGTCTTGGGAGAAGTAGGGAGAGACGGGTCCCTGGAGAAGATGATGGCGCTTGGTTCAGTAGAAGGGCCACAGAAAAGAGGAAGTCTCAGCAAATGGGTGGACACCGTGGCTACAACCACGAGTTCCCACAGAGGAGCCGCCGTGAACACAGCGTGGGGCCAGTTGGTGTTTTACTGTGTGGTGCACAGGGTCACCGTGGGTGGAACTGATTCGATGGCACCTAACAACAAGATTGGTCTTTATCTCACCAATAAGCCTGGTCTCTCTGATGGTTTTAAATCCTGTCCTACACATTCCTCCCATTCGTTCTGTCCAGGACCTTCTTATGTGATCCTTTCAGGGCAGCTGGGAGAGGTGGCAGGGCGCCATCTATGGCTTTGGCCTCAGCATCACAGAGACTGCTGGTCACTTACACAGCCCATTTGTCCATTGAACTGGTAGTTACCGTGTGCCTTTCCATTGTGGTCCCTCTTTTTGGGTCCAGGCAGAGATGACGGTGGTCGTTGAGGAGCCCTTCAGATTCCACTTGGTCCTCGCCACAGTCAGATGTACGTGGTCTATCTGTCGACCTTGCCGTCTCCCAGGCTCTGACGCAGATCCGCCAAGCCCTTGAGTCGTTCCCTCAAAGTTGGGTCACGTCTAAGAAGTTCCCATCACTTGCCCCCAGTGTGCTCCTCGGCAAAGATGGATAAATAACTTCTTTGAAACTTATTGATAGTTGTGAGTATAGGAAATTCTCCATTTTGAATCTTAGGCCAGTCCTTTCAGGGGTTCATCCAGTCTCCATGACTTCAGAATGTCTGGGTTCTGTGAGAAGATGCAACGCAATCTTGGAACAACATGCCCAGTGATAGTAGTCAGGCACCATTCCGTTTTGGTCTAATGGCAAGGGAGGCTGTTAGCCACACATTCCATAACCCCTGTCTTCCTGGCTCTCTTTCATTCCCGGTTACTCCAGGCAAAAAACACCGCCAATTGTTGTGCTTATCAGCGTTTAAAACCCTTGGTATTATGTGATGAACCAGGAGGCAGAACAGAAGAACTAAACATTTTCTTCGTATGCTTGTACACCCAGGTAAAAGCATCGGATGTGGAAATCAGTCTTTTTTTTTTTTTAAACAAACTCTCACAAGTTGCTTCAGTGGTCAGTGATTTTCTTTTTTAAGGATTCACAGCCAGAAAGAACTTTCTGGAATGCTGTACCTTGGCCAGGCCATTGGGAAAAGAGTGTTGATCCGGTTCTATCAAGAGCCAAGTCCAACAGAAGCGCTGACCCATCTGCACAGAGACAGGGACAAGCATACCCTGTTAGTTAGTGACCCCGGAGCTAGCCCTCTGGGCTGGGAACGGGGAGAATGTTCTTGCTCTGAAAATCCTGTCTTGACAAGCAAGCCCACTTGGCTGGAGAAGCAGAGGCGGCTTTCATCCACCAGCCAGTGCCCTGCTGGGAAAGGGCTAGAGAGAGTCCAGGAGGGCCGGAGGCTGCTCCCGGGCCAGGTGGATACCCTGGCTGCCAGGAGGGGCAGGAAGAAGAGATGGGTGCAGGTTGGAGTGCGAGGGTGAGAGGCAGGAACTCCTTCCTCTCTGTGCACGAAAGGAGGCTTATTTGGGTCTTCTGGGCTTGTTTTGAAGTACAAAAAAGTAGGCTTTGTGGAGCGATGGGACACTTCCACCTCCTGAGCCCTGGAAGGTCTGCTGTTGCTGGTGGCCATGAGTCTGGCCGGACCTGGTGCTGCAGAGCAAGGGGTTGGCGGCCTGGTCACTGGCGTGTTGCAGCCATGGTGTCAGCCCACCTACTGGAGAATGCGCCTCTTTCTAGGCCACTAGGATGGACGTCACTAGAGATTGGCCTTCCCTGGTGACACCTCCCAGGTTGTCAGGTCGTCTCCCCTCCTCACTTCTTCTCATATTTTATTTAATGGCAGGTTCTTTGACACTTCATCCACATAGCATACATTCAATAGTTCACTCACATCAAGAAGTCGTACAATCTTTACCACATTCAATTTAGAACATTTCCTTGTTCCCCGTACTCAGGTATTTCTGTAATTTCCCCCCTACTTTGGCCAAAATAGACACAACAAAACATTCACCACCCTGACAACGTCCACATATGTAATTCAGTGCCATTGTTTTTACTCTCCGTGTAGTACAACCAGTGTGGTCATCCCTCTGCAGATTGCTCCTCCCATCCTCCCTACTAAGGAGCATCCCCCTGTCTTTCTCCCAAGACCGGCTCGCCTGTTCTTGTGGCATTCCACGGCGCAGTCAGCAGTCCCGACAACACCAGCACCACAGACGTGTGCATCAGTTGTCCCTCTTGCCTCCTTTTCTCTAGCCCAGCTCTCCCAGGTGCCTTTGCAGTGGCCCACAAGACCAGTGAACTGATTGACAGAAGCATTTCAAACTCAAATAGTACCAAAAGGCCGAGAGGTCATGTCCTTGGGCTGCATGGGTTGGGCAGAGGGACCTGGCACCTGCAGCATTGCCAGCTGGGCATACATTCTAAGTGGTGCCACTTCTTCCCATGCTAGACCTTTCATGAACCAAATACCAACATTTCCAGGCTTTCGGGTGTCTTGGAAAGCTGTTATCACAGTTAAAAGGTAATCGAGGTGGAGAAGCTAAGCACTTCTGAGTTTAAAAATAGGGTCCAATTCATGAACACATCTGAAAATATTATGGGCAAGAAAGGCCCAGCTTCCTGCCCCGTGCTGAGCAGTCCACTACGTCCGGCCTAAATAAACTCGGAGGGCAGAGAACTCGATGCTGCTGAAGCACCCAGGAGTGCTCCTCACCCAGGTTGCTAAACCCCCGCAGAGCCCAGCCCCTGGGTGGTGGGTTGGAGGGACCCAGTGCCATTGGATCAGGGCTCGCATCCTATGGAGAGAGGGTAGAGGCTCATTCATCTCGTCAGGAGCAGTCCGCCCCCAACAGTGAACATGGACGACTGGAGAAGAGCAGATGCCCCTGAACTTTATTGCTGGCGACAAATCCAGACGATCATACCAACCTGCCCCGGGAAAACTATGTCCATTAGAAAGCTCCGTAGAAGAAAGGATGGTGAGAGCCCAGGAGGGACCAGTCCCTGGAGAAGGGCATCGAGCTGGGTGAAGTTAGAGGGTCAGCGAACACGGGAAGACCCCCACCCGGGGGATGGACACAGTGGCTACAGCACTGGACTCAGACACCGAGACAGTTGAGAGGGTGGCGCAGTGTTCGGCTGTACAGCGGGTCCTGGTGTTCTTTCGTGCCAGTGACACGGTTCCACTGTGCTTCGTCCACCGTTCCACACGGCACATTGGTGTGCGGAGTATTTTACACTTAGAAACCATGACTCAATGAACGCTCTTGTGTCATTTTTAATTTCCAACCAGGGGTGTATCTTCTTAGAAATGGGATTGCTGAGTCAAGGACGAATACATGTGTGGCTTTAGTAGCTGTTACCAGATTGCCTTCCAGATGGGTTCAGCCATGTTTCATGTTCTGCACAATCTGCAGAAGTGTGTGCTGTCCCCAGCCTTACCACTAATGAGCTATTAGGCTTTGCCTTTTTTTTAAAAAAATCATTCTATTGGGGGCTCGTACAACTCTTATCACAATCTATCCATCCTTCCATTGTGTCAAGCACATTTGTACATTTGTTGCCATCATCATTCTCAAAACATTTGCTTTCTACTTGAGCCC